TCCAAACTCTCTTTCCAGCTAACGTGTTAATCTTTTATTCTTTGTGATCCATCTCCCCGAGCATGTCATTCACATTAACCATCACTCAAAGAAACTTGTAAGCGCAGAGGTCCAGCGGAAATACTCCCAGATACTCCCAGGTCCTTGATCCCTCCTCCCTGCTGCTTGTCCAGACCTGACCTGCCGTCCTGCACAGGAGGGCACTCTTGCACAGCACTGATTAAAGGCAGGGTCTGCTATTCCTCACAACTCAAAAAAAAAAGAAAAACGCAGTAACAAGGCCCTCAGCACCTATGTACTTCTGCTGAAGTGAAGTGAATCCTTACCCTGCACCACTGGCACCCCATGATACTGCTGCTGGAAGTGAAAATGTCCCCAGCACAAGGGCCGGACAAAGGCACCAGGGTGCTCAGTCCCTCACTTCACCTCAGGTTACCATACTCACAAAGCTGACCTGCACTTAAAAGGGTGAACTGAGACCTACGTGCTCATCAAAACATCATCTGTTGAGACGTGAGCATTTTCTTTGACTCATTCCTGATTTTCTGCATACTGCCCTCCTCCTCCACAGCCTTTATCACGAGCTCCATCCCCAGCTCTGCTGGAGAGTCGATAGTGTGTGTAAAGTTAACTGCTGGGAGCTCTCTCACCAGCTTTCAGAAAGGAATCAATATAAATACAGTGTTTGGCTTCTCCATTTATTGCTGATACTGTAGAATATTAAAGTCCAACTTTTATTTCTTGAGAGCACTATTTTTAGCTTAGTTTGTATTGTCTGTTGCTATGCATACAAGAAATATAAACTCTAAGTACGAGTAGCCACTGAAGATGTGCTGCACTGAACTATTGCTTCTTTCTGGAAATACACCTTGAACTCCTTTCTCCTGTCCTATCTGCATTGTAATCCTTTAATCTTTGCTAGCACAATGCTTTCTATAAGAGTTATATCCATAAAGACACCAAAACCTCTTTGCAGAGTGACACAAGTGAATCAGTAATACCAGAGAATGTGAAGTAATGCAAGTACTCAAGAAATATTGCCATATTTTCATGCCAGTAGCAACTAAACCCATGAGTTGTTACCCCTGTAATATGTCAGCTCTATCACTTTCTGCAACCCTGACCCACTACTGAGACACAGAAAGAGCAGCTTTGTGTGTTAGGTGTGCTAAATATAAGGTCTGAGTATTTGCATAGGAAGTCAACAGACAGCTTCCTAGAAAATCCCCCTTTTCTCTACATTCGGATGAGTTTCCCAAAGGAAAACCACAGACACTTTCAGACTAACAAAGGTCCCAAACTGATGGCTTCACGTTATGCTGACAGAAATGGGTCTCAGCCTCCCAGAAGGTCTTTCAAGGTATATGACCCAGTGTGATTTCTGGTGCATATTGAATTAGTGGAGAGTGAACAGCTAGCAGGGCTGGACTGTAAAGGGCATGGGAGATGTACCATAACGTACAGGATTTCATAAACATGGGATTTGATATACATGCCCTGGTCAGGCTTGGATTTATCAGATAGGTGTGGTCAGAAGAATTCCCACCTTCCATCAGACCTGTAGTGCCTGCTGTGCACATATTTGTGTACACCCACCTGAGGCTGTCCATACCTCAACCTCTCCTCCAGGCTGGGACACACCTACTCCTGTGGCAGTCACGTCCTCGGGGTCAACTGCTCAGAGCCTGCTGTAAAACAAATCTGATCAGGATACCTGGGTCACCTCCTGACAAACCTTCTGGGCTTTGGCGTTCATAGGAATGTGTCCTCCACAAGAGGACATATCCTGCCCTGTGTGGTTATAATGATCATGTCTTCTCATGAAGCTGGTCAGTGCAGGAAAATAATTAAAAGCAGTTGCCCTGTCAGTGGCCCACTGTGCTGTGTGTGGAGGAGGCACGGGGGTTTGCCTATAGTGGGAAGCCCAGGCAGGAACAACATGCTCCTGATCACATCCACGGTGCCGCAGCCACACAGTTCCTGGCTGGGTTGGGCAGGCACCGGTTCAGACCGCCACAGCACCACAGGAACCTCTCTGTTATAATAAAATGACCGACATATCATTCATCTCCATTTTGTGCACCCACCAGCAGCTTCTCCTTGAGGCACCTGATTTTTTAAGGGCTAATTTCACAACACTTACCAAGTGCAAACTTTACACAAAAAAAAAACCTTTGTGTAGTCAGAAAAGAGGCAGTCATCAACATGGAAGGATGAAATTCCTACATTTTGTGTGCTAGACTGCTTGAACAAGAGGTATCATGCAAGTAGGCAAAGTGGCTGTTTCTTTTCTTTGATATCACATAAATAAAATTAACAAGTAGATTCTTTGTTCATTCCAAAGACATCTTTTATTTCAGATTTACTACAGTGTCACTACAGAGACAAATTTTGTTATGATATTCTCCTGCACAAGCCTGAATAATTGAATTGTCAGCCAAGAAACTAGTTGAGCTCTTTAAAAAACATTTATAACTGTCAAGCACAGCAGCATTGCCGTGTTTTTTAGTATACATTTGTTCCCTCTTTAAGGCTTTCAGATCATTCAAATGGAGCCCATTATTATTATTTTAAAGGATGTTTCTAATATGTTGTTATATTATCTTTACAGAAATTGAACATTCATCAGTCCAGGCAAGGTTGTCATGGCTAGCAATAGCTTTTAGAACCACAGATATTTATGTATTACGTATTGCTATCAATCACAGCAGAGGTATTAACATTTTTCTTCTCCAAAGAAAACAGGTATGCACATGTTCTTTATTACTCTCTTTTCTTTCGATGCTGCTTCTCACATACAGGAACTGGTAGTACTAAGAATTAGAAACCACTCTGGCCTGTAAAAGCCAGAAATCAGAGACAGATTTCCCAAACATCAGAAATTAAGGAACTCTATCAGCTTCCTTAGATGGAGAATTGCAGACAGAAATCCAAAGCCAGGTGGAGATGGAGATAGACTGCAAAGTTTACAAAGCGATTTTGTGAAGTACTGCCAACTGTGACAGCATTGCTAAATATCCTGCTGCAATAGCACCTTGGTGCTACCTTCATCCTCGAGGTTGTGCCTCCTCTGCACAACTCTCCTCCATGGAGAAAGGTTAACAGTGTGGACGTGCCACTCTGCGTGCAGACCTCGGGTGCAACCAAAGGCACCACATATCTCTGGAGCAGCCCCTGTGCTGCCATGCCCATGCGCACAGCCAGCAACCACCTCATGTCCCAGTGCCTGGTCACGGCACCGGCAGAGCTGGCAACTGGGCCACCCTCCTGCCCCTGGCTCCCCTGGCAGACCAGCTGGCTGCAAACTGCTCTTTGGAGCACCTGGGTGTTCTCTGCAAATAGCCTGGATTAGTAACATCAGCGCTGATAACCAATAATGTCAGCTCAAGTCATATCCAGCTATAACAGTGCCATAAACAGAAATCAAACGCTTTCCTATTAGGTCAATTAAGCTGTAGGTAGTAAGAGTCTCTTAAGCCATCAAAGTGGCATTTTCAATAGATCACTGAAACCTGAAATAGTCTGTAGTTGATGTGGGCTTTATCTTCTGACATGGGGTAGTCTCAAATATTTACACCTGTAGAACTGCTGCCAAACCTGCTCACTATCAACACAAGCAATGCTGATGAAGTCACTAGTAAACAGAAGGCTTAATAGCAGTGTCAAGTACAGCAGGTACTTGAAAATGAACAGCAGCCTTCAAGCGCAGAGCTTCATGAGGGATAGTGGAATAGCATAAGCAAATAGGAAATCATACACATTTTAAAACCGAGTGAACAACTGGCCAACCTTACTCAAATAAATAAATATTTATTCTAATGAATTAGTCATGAGGCTTTCTACTGAATTTTTTCATGTCAAATCTTTGTGTTACACCTAAATATACAATATATATATTATATATATAAATATACAGTGAATTTTTTTCTATATTGATCACTTTTTTTCTTTTTTTTTTTTTGCTGAAAGGGTAGGATTTATTGCTCTTGAGTAGATAAGAGATGTGGTTTTACCCTAAACAGTGAAACTAGAATACCAGCATAATCCTTCTTAATGCTTTGCTACTTTAGCTATGTAATCGTTTCCAAAAATATCTGTGTGACTAGGGATCCAAGTGAGCTCAACAACAGCTCCAATCAATTTCAATTGTTCACACAGCTGTATGACTTAAGAATATATCCTTTATCCTTATTTGGATTGCTAACAGAGGCCCAGTAAAATCCTGTAGGATTTTATCTGTTTGTGTGAAACCACCTCCTGAGTAATATTAACCTGCCAGTTTAAAGCTGGGATAATACAATTACCTAGAGCTAGCTCTTGCAGCCCTACTTACACCCATGAGCACATAAAAAAAACACAGGAAAAATTGAGTGACTCACAGGGAAAAGAAAAATCCAGCCAGTATGATGAGGGGATGCATAAGTTGCTGTTTTGAAATTTACACACTGAAGTCAATGGGAACTTTCATGGGAGCATAATTAGGCCTCTAGACAATTTGCATCATAACCAGAATTAAAAGGTGAATACTCTACTAGCACAATGTTAATCTTCATATATCGTACCCATGTAACTAAAGCTAAAGACAATTCTTGCAGAGTAATTGTTAGAATATTACAAGGCACAGATAAAGGGAAGAAGCAATTTTCACTGACAGGTTACTCATTCATGTAATTTTAACTATATCAACATATATCAAAGTTTTAAGTACTAGTGATACTAAGTCATCAGAGCTAACAGGTACAACTAAAACACTGTGAGCCAAAATGTTTAGCTTTTTATTTGTCATGGAAAATGTAAATTATTTTCTCATTTAGACTGTTTCTTCATCCTTAAAAGCATATTGCATTGGATTGCACATCTGACCTCTCACAAGGCCTCTTTCTAAGAAGAAAATCAGGTCTTCCCACCTCCCATGCTCATAAGTGCCATTAGGCTCCCAGAGCAATATAAGGCTGGATGGAAAATATTTTGCTAAGTGGTACCAAAAGAGGTTGAACTGTTTGGCTTGATAGGAATGTTTGTCATGCTGAAAAAACTGACATAAGGCTTTATAAGCACCACTGCTGTTGGTTTAGATATTTCCATTGTGCTGAGCTGGTCTGTCTTGGTTCCTGGGAAAAGAATAAGCTCTTACAACATTGTGTTATGCTCCTTAGGCCATAGCAGCCTTTACATTGTCTTTCAGCTAGAGAAGACTAAGGCCAAGGTGATCTTTCAACTGTCCAGTTCAAGAGTCACGTGTTGAAATTCACATGATTTTCAAAGTACTTCTTTCTACTGTTTTGCCAGGTGATCCAGCACTGATGACTCCCTTTCAAAGAGCTTTCCAGGCAGTGTATGATAGCAGAGATATCTACAACATGAAATGATGTATTAGCACAAAATCTCTGCAGGTGAAGAAAATTCTGCTGTACGGTGCATTTTCTCCATCTTTACAGAAAATATGTCTTCTGACAGTTCTTGGGTTTCCTACTATAAATCTAGCATAGTGTTACTTACATCTTGAGAAAGTCTGTGTGGGTGTATTCCATAATATGTATTTTAGTAGGTCTGTAGGACCATACACTAGTTTCATGGACTGTCCACATTGCCTTCTTTGTTTTCACATTTGCATTTATGTTCACAACGTGCTTTCTCTTGAAGAAAGTACTTTTTTTACTTCAGAAGCACTGCAATCTCTCACACCTGCAATTCCACTGCTGGCCTATATTTCTATATTTGTTTCCTGCTTGCTTACAATAGAACAATAATTCTGGAGAGAGTGAGAGACTCATTCAATCTGGCATGCTTTTTCCCAGTTTACGTGACTTTGGATGATGTAAACTCCCACTCCAAGTAAGTAGGGTTTTATGAGCCATTTATAAGATTTTTAGGTAGATGATTGAAATTTTCGATCTGTGATGGCTGGTTATATCAATCTAAATATATATCATAAAATAGGCTTCACATGCCACAGTTATAATAAAATTACCAACATATCCTTCGTTTCCCTTTTGTGCATCCATTTGCAATTATTCACATGCACACTTCTGACTTTTTGTAGATCATTGCAAAATTAATTATTTAATAATGTATAATACAATGGGTTTTTATCTCCAATTCAATCACTGTCACATAAAAGGTATGTCTCTTCTGTGCCCTATATCTGAGCATATTTCAAATGAATATTTTTTGTGATTGTCGTGGTTTAAAGCCAGTCAGGCAACTCGTTCACTCACTCCCCCCCCTTCTTTCCCTCCCCCTACCCCCCACCCCAATGTTAACAATTATTTTGTGAATATTATACATTCAACAACCAACTCCCTATTGAACTTTTGCTATTGCAGCTGCATAATGTATGCTTAGGTTATTTAACTTTCCATTCTTGTTTTTCCCAATTACTGCTAAAGAAGGCAGGAAAAAATTCTTTAGGGAAAAAGATCTTTCAACATTTTTGCTAGTGGCATTTGTGAAACAAATCCAAATAACACAAATCCATATCAACATGACATAAGCAGGCATCAGTGTACACCTGAGTATAGGACTAAAATGTAATAATAAATCAGGGTTTTCCAAAACACTGGTATGGATTTAATTTCAAACTACCACAGATTTGTCAATACAGGATAGAAATGACATTCTACAAGACCAAAACAGCTTGTTTTTGTTGTTTGGTTTTTTTTAGCTATCAGGAAGTTACGAGGCAAGTGACCACATGGCATGTAAAGGATTAGAGTACCAAGCCCTTTGTCTGTTTTTAAAGAAGCATGTTCATTGTTCTAACCATTTAATTCCTTTTTCCCTGACAATTTTATAGTCCTGGATCTCACATACAAAGCTAATTTTATATGAGAAACAGAACATAAAAATCTACACAGGAACTGTGCATCTTCTATTTAGTACAAAAAAAAAATATTCAGCATTTGCAGTTCTGATGATTTGATATGGAATTTAAGATTAAATCCAACCTCTCTTCTGGATGTGAGAAGCATACATTAACCATAACAGAGCAGAAGCAATTTAACATTTAAGGAATTTCTTCTGGTTTACGTTGTTTTGAGAATTTTTACTAATGTCAAATAGAAATAAATCCTATAAACTGGCTATAATAAACTAGTAGGATTTTCCACTATGCCTGCAACGTTTATCTGGGACAGTTACTTTCCTTACTGGCAGATGTTTTATGATTCATGCCATTTATTACACCAGAGTTTTACTGCATAGTGCTATTACACGCTGCAGAAAAGGCCACAAAATGCATTTGGAGGGAAGAAATCTGCCTGAGAATTCCCTGACAGCAAAGAGCAGGGTTTTCACTGCCATGAGGAAAGCTTGGCAGTCTGCTCCCCCACTAGCACACATCCAGATAACCGGGGGATGCACAAATGTGCCTTGTGTCCAGGCAACACTCCTGCCTCTGCTCTCACCCAATCCCCTGAGAAGATAGCTGCATTTAAGACCACACAAACGCTATGAAGGAACTTTTGGAAATGATTAAAAAAATCCCACCACTACACTTAACTCTGATTTCTTTTGTGCTTGATTCAAACACTTCTGGACAGGAGCCAGTGAAAAGTCAGTGTTGACAGAAGAGAATGGTTTGTGGTCCAACACAGAGGGCTCCCTCTTCCCCATTTGAAATCTGACCTTCTTCTTCCCAGGGCAGGCACTGAACCAGCCCAAGGCCAAACCAGGACACAAAACTCCAGACTGGAAGGAATGCTCTCCCGAAGAGGTTAGAAACCCTCTTTATGCGCTGATTCCATGATATCTGTATTCACTCTTTTTATGTGTCAAATCCGGCTCCTCAGAACAGATAAACTGGAAATCTTAGCAGGACTTCAGCATGAAGCTATGTTTATGAAGATACAATGATGCAACTTCTTTTTAACATTTCCTTTCCACCTGAAACTTTTTATATTGAACATGTCTTGGTTGACTGCAGTGTGCTATACAACTGAGGAACTAGAGCTATCAGTTCTTAGACCATACAAACTAATCCAGAACACAGGAACCCATCTCCTCACCTGACTGGGAACACCAGGACTCCTCTCCTTTGGGTCTCACCTCATAAAGTTGATGAGACCCGTGTCTAAGACTTCTTTGCTTGGTTTCACAGGGCAGTGCCCTACAGCCTAGCAAGCTTCGCATTGCCATTGCTAGTAAGAGTCCACAACCCTTGCATGATGTCTGCAAAGCCTTGCAGCTAAGCCATGTCAGCATGGCTTTGCTTGGATTGCCTTGGCCTGCCTGAAGCTTTGTTTTAGCTTGTTGAGCTGTAACAGCAACTATTTACCTGCCATTAATAAATTATTACCTAATTTAAGTTTTAGTTTAGCTTTGTAGGTTTGTGTATTATAAAGCCTATTGTTATAATACTTTTGAGATTTCTGTATATAATTGATAGTAGAGGAGCAGTAGTTATTTTGTGTACAGGCACCTATGACCTGAATTAAACTACCATAGAGGATTATAACAAGTAACGGATTATAGTAGATGCTTTGTTAAGTATAAAATCAAAGGCTCCTGGGCTATAAAAAAAATCACAGATGATCAATTACTGCTCATTAATCTCTTGGGAGGCCAGTAAAACTGGCTTTAGAGATAACAAAAGGAACAAAGAACAAATATTTAATGTACGCAGTTAAAACATACTATACATAGTATATGTAGATATAAAGTGGAATTGTGGACCAATGAAGAAAGAGGAACGTGCAGTACGTGCTAAGAAACATATAAAAATAGCCCCAGGCAGATCCTGGAGTAACATGGAAGAAATCCTCAGGAGCACCATACTTCTTCCAGTGAAGAACTCAGACACTAACAACTCACCATAGCCCTCTCTCCTACTTCTTGAGGACTGACAGCAGGGTGAGCATAACACCAGAGAAAGGAGTAGAGATAAGCAAATCAATGTGTACAAGTATCATTTGCATTATGACTGCGAGTAAACAGTAATAATTGGAAAATTTTTAGTGTTATTTTTATCAATATGAAATTAATAATAACAACTCTTTAAGTAGACTGCTAATATATTAATAAATTCTTGGATTTATAAGTAAGATTTGGGGTTTTTAGCCCACACAATTTGCATAGCGCATTCTGTTTGGAGTATTTTGTACCCGGTAGGCTTAGTTTTAATCGTAGAGGCAACACAAAAATGCATTAAGAAAGTTGCCATTCCCAGAAGCATATGGTCCACATGATGACAAAAATGCCAACTGCATGAAACAGAAGCATGAGTTAGTACTAAGCGAAGCATATTATCTAGAGGAGACAGAGATTTCAGGGAGACAGCTCAGTTGTGCCTATTGCTATGAAGAATAAATAAAGCCTTCTTGGTTTAGAGAAGATGAACACTTTTTATTCTGACAGCTCTGTTTTTCCATTAGTAGCTTCCCATGGCACTGCCATCAGATTGTTGACAGAAATGTGGTTTTGTAAGTATTAATTTCTAGAGGGGGTGGCTCTGTCCCTTAGGCCATAATTTTTGTCACAATAGAAGCAGCTTTTCACATTGCTAAAATTAGTCTTTCAGTTAACTTTGCTAGCAGAAATATGACAAATGCTTCTATTATTTCTTATTAAGCAAATTTCATAGAGATATTTATTGCAACTTTCTGACATTCTTAAAAATAGCAAAACACAGAATACTCCTCTGAGGTATATGCACTCATTAAATAACTTCTCATAAAAATAGTGGGAGGTAGATGAAAATGGTCAAGATGACAGTAGCTTTAGTGTAATACATGCCAGTGTATTTCCAATTACATTACCAGCATCTCATACAGTCTACCTGAACCTTCCACATGTTTGCTTTTTGATTTTTCTAAATAACAAAGTGGACTGGGAAACGGAATGGAGGGCAGAAGGACCAACAGAATTAGGTAGAAAGAGTTCTCTTTTTTATATGCAGTCTCAGGGCTGCTGGCAGCACATTTTCAGAGCACACCTGCCTGTGAGTACTGCCTGTAAAACCTGAAAGTATGCATCTTTACTTTTTCTGAGAGACCTCTCTTTCCCTCTTGAGTTAGCTGTAAGCACTACATTCACAAAAAAATAATTTTAATGTTGCTGGGATACTATCTGAGAAAGGAACCAGAGGAAAGCTCATGGCTAGTAATAACATTACTTTAAAAAATGTTGAAAGAACAAACATAGAACCTAGAAGAATGAGAAGAGGAGCAGAGAGAGCATGGTCAGTGCTGTGAGGCCAATAAAAGGAAAGTGCAAAGGGAAGAGACTTTGGGTATAGAACCTTGATTGTTCTGCTAAGATCAAAACCAAGGCCTTTTGGAAGAACTATGTAATTTAATGATAGCTTGTAATCATTTCTGAAGAACTTAAACTCATTCTTTCCAGTGGGTTAGGTGT